TTAATGAGTGGCTTATGGAGGGGATTACTCCTGGTTTATTGATCATTAGACATTCCATTCACAGCATTGTGCTAGTAAATCTCTACAGGTTTCTGGTGCTTCAGAAAAAGGGCCCCATGCAGCAGTTGACAAGAAAGCTATCTTATTAAATCTCAGTGTATTTTCCAAAGGTACATCAGAGGAGTGCTAATACTTTTTTTTTTTTTTTTCTTTTTTTTTTTGTGGTTGTTTTGGTTTTTTTTGTTTTTTTTTTTTTTCAAGCAGGCTTGAAATAAACACAATTATATTTATTATTGTAGAACAAAAGCATTTTAATGTTCTCAAAAAAAAAAAAAAAAAAAAATTGTATTGCCAAGTATAATATTTTGTATTGGCTACAAATATTTTATTTATTTTTGACGTTATGGTGATCATGTAGTTTATATAGCCTTGCTGGCTATGTATACGCACTTTTTCTGGGTTTATTTAGTTTCCGCTAATTGCTTGATGGTTTACATAAAATTGATTTGTTTGTTACCAGCTTGTTCAACTACTGAGACCTTTATGTGTTGGCGCATTGACTATCAACTTACAAAGTATTGGGGAGCCTAATCTGCAGCCCCTGACTTCATCAGAGGGCCACAAATAATTCTTAGAGTATTACTGCTAGAGAGCAGGTAAGAGATTGCAGATTTTGCCCAAGGAGATGATGGTCAGAGACTGGACATACTAAAAGATTTAATGGAGTCTAGAGACTTTCTTTAGAACATAGTGAGATATTGGGGATAGTAAGTAGCAGGGTGGATAAAAATCAATGATTTTTTTAAACAAATCAAAAAAATCTGATTTTTTTTTTTTATTTAAATCGGATTTTTTAAATTTGAAATTTACATCAAATTTACATCAAACTCTGTACTCCTGTGCTTCGGGATGGACTCGGCTAGGGTTATGGTGACATCACAGATATCCTGGAAAATCCACTCCTTGCTGCCCTCAACGGACCGGGGTAGTCCAATGTCACTGGATACCAGGGTGGATAAAAATCAATGATTTGTTTTAAAAAAAAAAAAATCTGATTTTTTTTTTTTTAATTTAAATTGGATTTTTTTTAATAAAATGCTTTTTGAGGAAAATATATTACCATCCAAAGGTTATTCCATCATGAAATAAAGATTTGTTTTTTAATTATGTAGAATAAGGCTGTAAATGTTTAATTTTTTTGGTAAATAAATTCCATGAATCCATTCACAATGTCATGCTCTTCCAGAGGTTTTTTGTAAGATTATTGGGCAGTTTCTCTGCCTACAAGATATCACAGATGTTCGGTTTACTTTTGCAGTTCTCAAAACTGAATTTGACTCAGCGGAGATCACATGCCTCTTCTTCACAGCAAAAATGTTATAACATGAACAGAGTTAAGAAAAAGACCTTCATCCTAACTTCTACAAACCTATGAATACAGAATCAACCCCTTCAGTGCTAAGTTTCAAGAAGTTAAGTGAATAGAATAGAAACAATATTTTTCTGATTGTTTGGAGTGGAATAGATCTGCACAAGAAGAAAGTGAAACTAAGTGTGAGGAGGAAGGGGCTGACAGTCTACGTTTCCTAAAAATATATATATTTTGTTTAGCCAAATTAGTTAACAAACATGGATGTTTAAGCCAATCACATATGCTGGAATGTTATTGTTTCAGTTGAATAAATCTATTTAAATTGTTATTATTAAGGTAATGATTATTTTTCTCCTTCCTAAGTACAACAGAAAAGTTGTCCAAATATGAATGATTAACCTATTAAACTGGGGATAAAAAAACTAATATGAAAAGTTATTCTAAAAATCTTCATCTACTTGCATATTAAAGTTATACCAGCAAGAATTAGTCTTTATGTAGAAAACTAGGATTTAAATCAAGCCTTACTGACTAGTGACTAGTGATTTAAATCAAATCCACCCTGGTAAGTAGACTAGTAGATATCACTGTTCTAGCACCTTTTTTACAAATCAATACTCCCACACAGACAGAGTGGTCAAACAGGACATCCCATGTCCATCCAAGCATCAGCTAGCAAGGAGATGGCTGCTTTGATACACAGTGATTGTCTTGGGCTCCAAGGGCTTGCCTGATACAAGGGGAAAGGATGTGTCACTTAGGTGTGTTTGCCCCAGTGCGGAGCAGAATCCAGCACAGCTGACAATCTTTTCTCCTCTCTCGTGCACCTTTCATAGCCTGGGAAGAGAGGCGTGCTCCCTGTACAAGGAGGTGGAGGCAGCTGTACCCATCACCACCCATCAGCAACACTAACACCCGCAGTTAAAATGTTACTAAACCTACAACAGTAAAATTAGTCTGTATATGCAATAAATCATGCTTGTTATACTCACTGTGGAACCTAAGGGGTTAATCCTCTGCATTGTGTAAAGAGGCTGTTTGATCTTATCTTCTCTGATCCTCCCCTTCTTCCAGTGCCCCTGATAAGACATATTGTGTGGAGTCACTGCACATGCTCAGTTTGGTGTGTATTGCTAGAGAGTTGTTGTTTTTTTTTTTTTGGGGAGAGTGCATGTGATTAGCACAGGGCCAATCAGCACTGTACAGACAGAAGTCAGGGGTTCTGCATTCTATTGGAGCAGAAAGAAAACTTCTCCTAGCTTTAACCAGTGCTCTGCTGAACACTGATAGAAGTCACAAGACTGCTCTAACTGCTGATGGGGAAAAAAGGTTTTTAGCAGTTTATATTTACTAAAACCATTGCATTTCCATGTTCTGTGTACTGTGGGAGACCAGATTTAGTAAATGCAGGGTCCTGGGTTTAGTAACACTTTAACCTCTTCAAGTCCGGACACTTTCACCCCCTTCCTGTCCAGGCCAGCTTTCAGCGCTATCACACTTTGAATGACAATTGCACGGTCATGCAACACTGTACCCATATGAATTTTTTAGCATTTTTTTTGAGACAGATAAAACTTTATTTTGGTGGTATTTATTCACCACTGGGATTTTTATTTTTTTGCTCTGTGATCATTCACAGATTTCACAAGTAGTAAGCAATGATATTCGGAAGTGATCACATGATTGGGACCTCACACAGAGGTCCCGTACAGCGATCGGTGTTCCCAGGGAGGCGCTCCCAGTGAGCGCGCACAGGCAGAGAATGTGGGAGGACAGCCACCCGTTCCTGCACTGTTCCCGTCCAGCCGTTTATGTACATGGGCCGGATGGAAAGTGATTAAACTGTGTTTTTTTTGGGGAGGGCCAATTCTGCAAACAGAATGGAACTGGGGCAAGATGAGAATAAAAAAAAAAAAGAGGCAAAACGGACAGGTTAACAAGGTGTTTATACATTCTATCATAGAAAACCCAATTAATAATGCTCATCAAACTCCTTTAACCATTAGCCGCCCGGCCAATGGCCGTTTGGCGGCTTGAAATGTGCTCCTGTATTCCGGGTGCACGCCATTTGGCGTGCTCCCGCACATGCGCGGTTGCAGAGCGACGCAGCAGTGCGTTCTGTCACCGCCCGTGCACCTCGGACACGGCCGATGACAGATCCGAGTACCGACTCCCGTTGCCAGTACCATGTGACCTGCTGTGACCAATCACAGCAGGTCACATGACAGTTGTATACAATGGATGGCTTCATTCATGATGCCATCCATTGTATACTAGTGCCTAGCTGTGAATGGCTAGGCACTGTGAATGCACATGTCATGTGATTAGCTGTGACCAAATCACAGCTAAGCACAAAAAAAAAAAAAAAAAAAAAAAAAAAAGCTGAATGAATCGATTTCATTCAGCTAAATGCTTGCTTATAGCAAAGTAATTCTTTGCTATAAGCAAATTGTGTAAAAAAAAAAAAAAAAAAAAAAAAAAAATTCTGATCACTTCCCCAAAGTAGTACAGTGTTACTATGGTAACATTGTACTATTTTGGTCATAGTAAAATATGAAAAAAAAAGTTAATAAAAAAAAAAAAAAAAAATATGTAATAAAAAATTAAATATAATAAAAAAATTAAAAAAAATTAAAAAAAAAAAAAATATATTTTTTTTCATACTGTCACCAGTCAGTGTCGCTGTTCACCGCCATGCCAGTTATATGATGACGCTGTACTGCACTGGTGACAGTATGTAAAAAAAAAAATAGTGAAAATAATTTTTTTTCAAATTATGACAAAAAAATTATGACAAAAAAATTATGACAAAAAAATACAACTTCAAAAAACTCGCCATGCCTTTTATGAAGTACGTCGGACTGTCTACTCTGCAAAAAGGGGTCATTTGGGGATATCTGTACTGTTCTGACATTCTTGGACCTCAAGATATTAGATTGGCTGTCAGTACTTCAGGATTGATCAATATTCAGATCTATCCCATAGTTTGTGAACTCTATAACTTTCCTACAAACTAAAAAATACATCCTAATTTGGGTTATTTTCACCAAAGACATGTAGCAGAATACATCTCGGCCTAAATTTATGAAGAACAATTATTTATTTGTAAACTTTTATAACAGAAACAAAGAAAAATGTGGGGTTTTTTTTCAAAATTTTTGGTCTTTTTTTTGTTAATTTAGCAAAAAATAAAAACCCCAGCGGTGATTAAATACCACCAGAAGAAAGCTCTAGTTGTGTGAAGAAAATGATAAAATTTTAGTTTGGGTACAGTGTTGTATGACCGCGCAATTGTCATTCAAAGTGTGAGAGCGCTGAAACCTGAAAAATGGCCTGGGCAGGAAGGTGTAAAATTGCACGGTATTGAAACGGTTAAACTGCTACTCTGGCAGCTAGAGTCCACATATGTTGTGTTTGTGTTTTTTTTTTTTTTTTTTTTTTTTTTATAGTATAGGAACTCCGTTTGGAGTGTTTGATAGCATTGTTTGGCTTTGTGATCTTGCATTCATAATAATAACTTTTATATCTTTTTTTTCAGAGACTGTATTGGGCAAGACTTTCCGACATTTGAATTGTTCTTTCTAGTACCCTGACCTGCTGAACAAATAGAGTTTAAATTCACATCACGATGGCTGATGTTGCAACTTCAGTACTTGCTTTACCGTGGGAGGAAGATGAGTGCCTGGAATATTACGGCATGTTCTCCTTACGTCAGTTGTTTGATGTAATTGGTTCTCAATTGACCGAGAGTGATGTCCATGCCCTTTCTTTCCTGTTGAATGAATCCTACTCTTCCACCACTCACCCCCTGGACCCTAGCATCTGGACAGTGGAAGAAGCCGGTGAGATGCCCAGCATTGCCTTACTGTCTGCCTGGAACAAATGGAACCGGTGCTCTAAGCCTGGCAATGATTTGGAATTTGCTGAGATTCAAAGACCTAAAAATGGCATTCAGCTTCTTTATGAATTGGAGAAGAGGGGGTATTGTGCTGAGGATAACTTCAGGCATCTGCTCCAGCTTCTAAGGGTGTTGACACGACATGATCTCCTTCCATATGTCTCCTTAAGAAGACGTCGCCCTGGTAAGACCTCAGGGCCATCACTGTCTTCTTTTCATTTAAATTTGAATCAGTTTCTGACATTTTAAACATGTCCACCTCTATAAATTAAAACTATTTTTATTCAAAGACAAAATCTCACCTTTTTGCACCTAACCCATTTTACTATTATTAATAATAATTTTTTAATAAATAATCAGTTAAGCTTTTAGCTGTTGGACCTACTTGCAGCCTCTAAACCCTTGTTCTCCCTCCAAATCCAACCCGACACATGCGCTGACGTTCAGCAGCCTTCACGTGCATGAACTGTGGTGCATACTGTCTTAGAGCAGAAATAAACCTCCCGATAAAAAAAAATAAAATGGGCTAAAGAAGCTGCTAGCTATAATGTGCTAGTATGTACTGTATACTGGCACAGCAAAATGCTGAAACTGCTCTTCAGGCTGTACAGGTCAATGTCCAAAACCAATGTGAACAGACAATTCACAGGAAAAAAGCGGTTACATAAAGGACAATGCGATACTGTACAGCATTGATATTGCATTTTTCTTATGATACATGTATCCCCACCACGGTTGTGCACCCCAATGTGTTTTGCTGTATGAGCAAAAGACCCTTGAGTCGTTTCTACAGCATATTACATTATATGGCCTAGCCAAGATGTCTCTTTTTTTTTTTTTTTTTTATTATTTGGTTTTAGGTTGTTTTTTTGTACTGTCTTATATTGAGGTGATGGCTACCAGCAGTCTTTACTCAATTGTCCCACATTGCAATTTTGCTAATTTACATACTGTAAATGGAGGGTTGGATGGGAAAAAAAAAATATATCTAAATATTATGGTTATGGACTGAAAAAAAAAATACATCTAAATATATATATATATATATATAGCCTATAAACTCCCTTTTATGTTAATTTGTGTCTATGCGCACATAGGCGTTCAGAAGCAGGAAAAAGCACTTGTTTGTTCAAGAGAGTAGCGTTTTAGCAGGAAAAAAAGCCTGACTTGTCATTTCATTTCTACAGCCAGAGTAACTTTAATATTCTGGCCAGTGAAATGAATAAAATATCCAAGCGCTTGGCGCTCATAAACACGTGTGAAAAACTGTAGCTGAGGAGCGGTTTTGCAACTGCTTTTTCCCTGCCTGCAGAAAAGCGTTTTAAGGTTTCATGCACACTGGGGCTCTTCTAAAGTGCATAAGCTCTGGCCATGGCTCCCAGCACAAATGGAAAACTGACCACGCTGAGATAGAAGTGCTCTCTTGCCTAGTGTGGTCAGTTTGAAATAGGAAATTAGGGGGGTTGGAATTTGCCTGGAATGCCTAGAATTTCAAACAAAGGATGCAATGCAGAAAGAACAGGATACGCTTTAATGGTCATGGCACAGCAGGCACAAATCATGAATATGAAATGTTGAGGTAACGTTCTTTAAAGTGTTACTAAACCCACAACAGTAAAATCAGTCTGTATATGCAGTAAAGAATGCTTGTTATACTCACTGTTGAACCTAAGGGGTTAATCCTCCGCATTGTGTTTGATCCCGTCTTCTCTAATCCTCCCTTTTTTTCTACTGTGCCCAATCCAGCTGCTGATAGAACAGAGCACTGGGAGTTATTCTGCACATACTCAGTTTAGTGTGTATTGCTAGAGAGTTTGTGTCTTTGGGAGGGTGCATGTGATCAGCACAGGGCCAATCAGCACTGTCCAGACAGGGTCTGGGGTAATGCAGCCTCATAGGACAGTCAGGAGAATGAAAACTCCTACAAGATTAACCAGTGTTAGTAGTGTGTGTGTGTATATATATATATATATATGTGTGTGTGTGTGTGTGTGTGTATGTATGTGTGTGTGTGTGTATGTATATATATGTATATATATATATATATATATATATATATATATATATATATATATATATATATATATATACACTAAAATAATTGCATTTCTATGTTTGTACTGTGGGAGACCAGATACAGTGAATGCAGGGTCCGGGGAGACCGGATAGAGAGAATGCAGGTCTGGGGAGAGCGGATAGAGTGAATGCAGGGTCCTGGGAGACCGGATAGAGTGAATGCAGGTTCTGGGGAGACCGGATAGAGTGAATGCAGGTTCTGGGGAGACCAGATATAGTGAATGCAGGGTCCGGGGAGAGCGGATAGAGTGAATGCAGGTTCTGGGGAGACCGGATATAGTGAATGCAGAGTCCGGGGAGACCGGATATAGTGAATGCAGAGTCCGGGGAGACCGGATATAGTGAATGCAGGAGTCCGGGGAGACCGGATATAGTGAATGCAGAGTCCGGGGAGACCGGATATAGTGAATGCAGGGTCCGGGGAGACCGGCTATAGTGAATGCAGAGTCCGGGGAGACCGGCTATAGGAATGCAGGGTCCGGGGAGACCGCTATAGTGAATGCAGGGTCCGGGGAGACCGGCATATAGTGAATGCAGGGTCCGGGGAGACCGGCTATAGTGAATGCAGGGTCCGGGAGACCGGCTTATAGTGAATGCAGGGTCCGGGGAGACCGGATATAGTGAATGCGGGGTCCGGGGAGACCGGATATAGTGAATGCAGGGTCCGGGGAGACCGGATATAGTGAATGCAGGGTCCGGGGAGACCGGATATAGTGAATGCAGGGTCCGGGGACCGGATATAGTGAATGCAGGGTCCGGGGAGACCGGATATAGTGAATGCAGGGGTCCGGGGAGACCGGATATAGTGATATAGTGAATACAGTGAATGCAGGGTCCGGGGAGGGATCAGTGAATGCAGGGTCCCAGATATAGTGAATGCAGGGTCCGGGGAGAGGATACAGTGAATGCAGGGTCCGGGGAGACCGGATACGAATGCAAGGTCCGGGGTATAGTGAATGCAGGGTCCGGGGTTCGGATAGTGAACGGGGAGACGGATATAGTGAATGCAGGGTGGTTCAGTAACACTTTAAAGGTTTCAGTAAAACTTACTGGAAATTGGAACATATCAAATTGTTAATCATTTTGGCTTTGCAGTTTGAGCTATGAGTTTCAAATTCTTGTCCTTTAAATTTAGTTTTTATCATTTCAGCCTTTATTTGCAAGCGCAGAATAATTTTTGCTGATTTTAGTAGTCCATAAGTCCTGGCTAATTTATATTAAGTTTTCCATGTTTATTTTTAATCTGCAGTATCCCCTGAGCGGTATACCTATGGGCCTTCCATTATGGACCAAAGAAAACAGGTGAATGGATGTCTTAATCCAACAACATCACAATCCAGTGAAGAGAACTGGGAAACAGGTAGGCTGTACGAGTGTAATACAAATTGGGTATGGTTAATTTCATTATATAAGGAGAAAGGCATACAGCATGTTGTATTTCCTAAATTGTGGTTTGTTTTTTTTTGGGGGTTTTTTTGCGTACATTTACCCGTGTGTAGATTATGTTGCTAGGGGAGTGAGAGGTGAGCACAAACTTTATGCACAACCTGTCCATCTTATATTTACCCTAAATGAATATGTTGTCTCCTTATAGGCTCTATTGCTAAAAAGAGAAAACGATCAGGAAATGTGAGACGGGGTCGCTGCCAAAAACCAAAAAAGAGCAAAGTGAGCAGTACTCCCGAACAGGCCGAACCCACCCAGAACAAAGTCACGTGTGGTGAGTACACCCATGAATTGCTTTGTGTGTTCATCGGCTTGCTGAACTCTCCCTGTGAGAGGTTAACATCACTCATAGTTTGCTGTAATTCATGACCCCAATGGGAAGAGTTTACATGTGTAGTCCTGCAGGATGCCACATCCAAGCCACATTGGCAGTGCTCTTTTAGTCCTGGGCTGTGGTTTAGGTGCTTTTCAGTCGTACAGGTTCATTTTGTGAAGTGAAATGCCCTGGTGTCTTCCTGCTAACCTCTCGTCCCCTGCTGCGAACGATTTCTAGCTTCTCTGACCGTAAATTAATCTCTGCACTTCCAAAATGAACATTTTGGTTAGCTGACACTGCATGGATTAGTGTCTTAAAACTATTTTGGTGCTGCCTAATGGATATAGAGAGCAACACTGCGTTGTTTACTTAAAGTCGCTAATCCACAATCACCACTAACTGGATAGTGTGTCTGCACTTCAGTGTGTTTCCAGGGAAAGTTTTCATGCTCCTTCTGTGCTCTGCCCCTTACACATTCCTCTAAAGCTGTGTGCATTCAGTCTACAACAATGCTCTGCTTTCCTCTTTGTATGGGTCCAAAATGGGGAAAAAAACACAGCATCAAGTCTGACCATGCAACTTATGTTTTATGAGTTGCTGAGGACTTTGGCATTAAGATGGTGAAATGATAATGCAGATATTAGGTAGTTCGCTGCATTTTGAGCTAGATAATCTTTTATTTATTTATTTTTAACTACAGATGTGGATTACCACGTTTTGAAACATGCAATATTTAGTCTAAACGCCTAACTTTTCTCAGATCTTAAACTGATATGTACCTGCTCTCCCGAGCAAGCTGGACCATCTTGCACTTTCTATGTTGGCCAAACTTGGATAAACATGACTGGGAACTGAAGCTCTATATTACTAATAGCAATGAATATGAACAGAGCAATGCACCCTATTGACCCCAGACCCAGCTTCTAGGGCATTTCAGACATATAAACATTGTTCCCAGGATCTTGCTGCTGTGTTGTTTTTAACCTGAAAAAAAAAACCTTCTCTGAAAACTACTAATCTTTTGTCTCAGTCATTAATTCAGCCTTACGGTTTTTTTCATTACCCCATGAAAGTCTGTTAGCTATCCATTCCACATATTTCCCTAGAAGAAGGTGCCTGAAATGTCTTGTCTAATCTGTCTCTGCTCCAACGTTTTCTCACATTTTGACACTTGCAGGAAATGAGTGCATAAGAAGAAATTTACTAAATAAAATAGTAAATACATAATTCAAATCTTCACACCTGTGCTACCTGGATGAAACAGTAAGACCTTTCAACTCTTCAGTGTTGTGCTTTTCCTTTTCTTTAACCCTCTGTCACTGGCATGTGGGCATCCCTGTGCAGAATTCTGCAAACCTGTCTGTCAGTGACGGAAGCAAGTATTATGTAAAGATCTACAGAGCTGGAGACTTCCATTGCATGTTTCATGGCCTGACCTCTTTGGGGAAAAAAAAATCATTGTTACTAGGTCATTTGAACATCTGTTTGGTTATTCCAGCACTTTCAAAGAGAGTGATCTTTAAATATCACAATAGAAGTGTTTTTGGTCCATAAAGTTAGCACCTTAACATTCTTTGGCAAATAAACGATAAAGATATCCTACCAGAGATGTAACTGTAAATTGAGTTTAAAGACACATTTGAAGGATTTCCTACAGTTTAAGTTCTAACAAAACATCTTGATTTATAATGTTCAAGTCCTTAGAGGTCCTCTTTGCCCACAACTGATTGTTTTTTGCATCACCAGCTTCGTATTTGCCTTGGAGATTCAAGTGGTGAGGCTTATCAGTGTCCTTTTCTCCCAAGGTCATAACAAAGTCATCACTCTCATAGCCAATTTCTCAAATAGTTTATTCCCCACCAATGTCAGCCATTTTTTTTTCAATGGCTGTATTGGTTGTGTAATACTTGAGTTCATATGGAGGTATCTTCCCACTTCAGTGCTCAAGTGGCATAACTAGCCTGTCAGTGGATCACGCTAACAACAGTACAAAAGTTTAAATGCCCAGTTTGGGTTGAGTCAGCTATTAAAACTGTAAACACTGCTAAAGTTTTCAAATGAACAGTCTTGCCTTCTATCAATGCCTGCTATAATAGATTTGTTATCAAACATTCTAGCTTGTTCTTCCCAGTGGTACTGGTTTCAGTTTTTAATAAGGTCTGACACAGGAACTAATCCTTGCTCACCCTCCATTTCCCTGCCTAGTGAGAGGGCGCTGGTATTAAGTAAGAACATTTTCATGGGACTGGGGGAAAAAGTGAGTGTGGATTACCTTTCGAGTCAGTAATGTTTTTGTTGACAAATGGAAACTAGGACCAGAGGGATGCTGACTTGAGGCACAGATAAGGGCAGCCTATTCCTGCTTTTTTAGACAGAACTATTACTTTTCAAAAGTTTTTAAAGTGAGGTGTTCTCTTTATATCATGAGCTTAACCTCTTTGCTCTCATCATGCTGACCTAGTGGCTTCAATACATTCTGAGTTTCTGATCTGGACTTTCTAGTTCTTTTTTTATTTTCAGATTTGTATAATTATTGTTCCAGGTCAGTGAAGCAGAAGGTTTTAAAGCCAGAGATTGTTGAGCAAACTAGTAAGAGGTCAGTAGCGGCAGCCCCCATAATCTCCTCAGCATAGCTTTCCATCCAGTTCTTTTAAATGGACAGTAAAAAAAATGTCTGCAGTAGGTCCACAGTCTGAGATTTTGATTCTGGCATGTTTTTTTTTTTATAGGGGTTAAAAAAATAAATTTTGTTTTAGTTTGTGATATTTATGCTGTGCAATGGAACATTTTACAATCCCCCCCACAAGAAACTGTGGCTCAGCATACCAACAGTCTTGAAAAGGATTTTATATATCATCTCTGTTTTTTTCATATAATGGCATGCTGTGAACCTCTTGTAAAACACTCTTAAAATGTATATAAACCCAAAATGTTTGTTTTTCAGTATGTTTGGTATCATGCCTCATTGCATATGGTCTTCTTAAGTAAATTTTGTTTTATTATGTTGCAAAGTTTCTTACCTGAAGATCCTGCATTAATGACACTTCAGCTGTCCATACATGGGTCATATTTTGGCCGGTTCAGAGGGACTGGATAAATTTAGATCCATGTATGGGCACCTTGGTTGTACACAAGTCAGTCAATTGACTTGTGTACAACCAGCTTGTTGAGTCTTTCCCAGACGATTAGTGACGCTGGCTAGATTACCGGCAACACTAATTGTGGTCTGCCAGCCAGTAAGGCACCCAGTGCTTCCCGCCAGCAAACCACAATAGCGCTGCTGGAGGAATTCCCCCATCAACACTGACTGACTGTGGTGAAAGGGGAATCAAGCCATTTTCTTTCCTTCCATCCATGTAGAAAGGAAAGAAATTTGCATGTTCTATGGCCTTCCTTACTGTTACAGGCTGACAATACGAAGTCACTGCTTTATAGTTAGTAGCAATGTTGTCAGCCTGCCTTGCAAGCTTCTTCAGTGGGCCATTGCCTATCTTAGGCCTCATGCACACTGCAGCTCAAAGAAGCTGCTCTTACAGGAGTTTGTGCTGCTTTGAGCTTTTTTTTTTTTTTTTTTCTTCCCTCTGCCGGTTAACTCCCCCATTTTAGCCTATATGCTCATTCACACTATAGACGGTTTCAGGGGTTTGGTGGTAGGGGAGTTTACAAGCAAAAAACCCATAACTTGTGGTGCGTTTAGGAGAGGAGCATTTGACCATACAAAAACACTCAAAAGTGAAAAAATGTGCATTACCATACATTTGCATGTGTTAGTGGCCAAAACTCTAGCCATTAAAATGCATTAACGCTAGATGTGTTAACGCACATGCCAAAACACTGCTTTGTACCGCGTTTTTGATTCTGAAAACTCCTGTAGATTGAAACATGTTTTTGAGTCTCAGTGTGCATGAGGCCTTATAAACAGCCCCACAACCAACTGAAAGAGCTTGCCTTGCAGGCTGACAGTGCTGCTGCCAATTGCTTCACATTGTCGGCCTACATCAGGAAGTACTATCACTAGCAGGTAATCTAGGTAAGGATCCTTGCTGCAAACACTTGAAATAAAAAGTGCTTAAGAAAAGGCAAGACAACGAGACCATGCCAGGTATAATAAAAAAAAAAAAAAACATTTTGCGTTTACATACACTTTAAATATGCTTCAGAAACAAATGTGCCTATCTTGAGCAGTGTTTCATCAGCCATAAACTGTTAATAGAATAGTTTTTCTTTCCCTTTATTCAACATTAAGCCTTAGTGATTTTTTTTTATTTTTTTTTTTCCCCAGACAAATTAATTTGTTCATGGTTTGTGCCTAAAGTTAATGTGTGCTTATTAGAAGTGCACCAAGTTTAAATGTATGTGACCATGTAAGGTGTTCGTGTCCCTTTTTTTCTTTTTTTCGTTGAAGCACTCCTCTTAGACGTATCCTCTGAAATGTCATGGTGTTATGTTGCTGTTCTGTTCAGTCGACTTTTTCTGAAATTTAAATTCCAGGTTTACTGAGCAAAGGTTGATGCTTGAGAGAGCAAATCTCTCTGTTAAGGAAATGATCATGCACTCTACCCTTCAAAAATACAAGCGTACCATAATAAAAGGTAAATGTGGAAAATGTATGCCTTCTGCAAGTGAGAGACAATTCAGACAGATAGCATTTTGTAGACTCCAGTACAGCATGGCCATCACAATTTGATTTTTTTTCTCTCTCTCTCTGCATGCAGATACTGGAACTAGTTAGATAATGTTTGAGCCTGTGTAGATTTTTTTTTTAATACTATATAGCAGCAGCTGATAAACCTATCCAGGGTTCAGCTTATCTAGCTTATCTTTATTTAAAGAGATATTTGCATAATTTTCACTACAGATATACAGTGAAGGAAATAAGTATTTGATTTCCTGCTGATTTTGAATGTTTGCCCACTCACAAAGAAATGATCAGTCTAAAAATTGAATGGTAGGTATATTGTAACACTGAGAGACAGAATAGCAACAAAAAATTCAAATTAAATACATGTCTAACAAATGATGCATTGATTTGCATGTTCAGGAGGGAAATAAG